ATTTAAAATTTGGAAAACCTTCTCTGAATCTGAATACTGCAAGTTATACCTCCTAGCTCCTATTCCTTCACCTTTCCTGGGCTCAACTGTAAATAACTTATCGTGGATAGAAAGAGATGTCTGCCTTGTGGATGACACTAACTGGTGAAAATGCACATGGTCAGTAGTCAAATAGGGGCTCCAGCTTTCTGACAAAATATCACACAGATGTAGTGAAAGGTTGAACCCCAAAACATAACGGTTGCATGTTTCACACGTAGTACATGTGAAACAGTAATATAAATTAGTTAAATTCCAAGATGTGTTTTTAGGGTCTGACATGCAATGGTGTTTGGGAGTCCACGAGGAGCAATAAAGGAATGTTGGATGGTCCCTATGCTATATGAAATCAATAAGAAGCATGCAGCTTCCTTCTCCTATATACCTCCCTCTGTACTACTTGCACTATTGGACAGTGGTTACCATGATAACTGCCACTCTTCCCCCTTTTTTTTAAACTGTATTTCTTTTCTTTATATCAATGCTGTCCTCCCAGCCTATTTTTGTTAGACTTCACTGGAAAAGGTCAATTGGAACAGTTATCTGTACTGTTATTCTTCGCAGATGTCATACCAGTAGGCAACTGTAAGCATCTTTCAGCTATATTTCAGATTTTCCACGCGTTTCTTCAATGGTTTCAATTTGTCAGCAGCTGCTTCCTGGAAACCATCAGTTGGAATCACAGGATGCATTTGAATTTAAGGCTGCGTCATCCAAGGAGGCGGTCTACCTGGACTGGAACCTTTGAGGTCCTTGAAAAGGAAGCCGGAAGAGTTTGGCTGTGAATTCAAACGGGTCTAGCCTTCGGTGGCTTTTACCGCCGTAGGCTCTGTCACTTAGCAACCGTGACAGTTGACACAGAAAGCAGGAAAAAAATGAATACAGAACTTTACAAAAATGTTTGAAAATGTGTGTTTATTTATTTTATTGTAAAGTGAACAAAGACTACATGAGAATACAGAGTGGAATATAGGTGAAAATGTAATGATAGAAACCTTAGTCAGTTAAATAACATCCTGCTGTCATTTTGCACATCTCTGATGTTGCTGCCATTTTGACATATTCATTAGTGTAACAATGTCCATAGCTGGAAATTGGTTATTTATTCTCCGGGTGCAGAGTTTTATATTGTAAAAACACTTTACAGTACTTTATTGTTTATATTTTAACTCTTCCACACCAAACCAGCACTAAGCAAGCACCCACTTTCTCCAATCAGGGAGGGGTATGTGAGGCAGTGCAGGATGATTCTCTATCAAGGTGTACATGAAGAGGCTTTTTCTTAATGTTTTCACACCTTGCAAACCAAACTTAAATCAGGAAATGTAAAAGTTTATTTTTTTTCCGCAACCAAACTGCACATAGCAGTAACCTCTCTTTCTAAGCTAAAGTTGTGAGAGGTCTCATTGTTCAGCCTTTAGAAGTGGTGAGATTCAACAATGTAATTAATGGGCGACACCCAAACGGGAGATTTCACTTTGAAAGCAAGTGTTTCTCTTCAAGATTGGAA